TCTCTGCCCTGAAATAATTCAGGTGTAATTAGGGAATTAAGTGGAGAAATACAGAACAAGCAACTTAATACACATGGTATATGAGATGGGTATACCAAGAAGGCTTTGGGAGAACAAAGTTTATTTTGTCCATCTCTCTTGAAGATGATGGCTAAACTGAATTTTCAAGTGTAAAATTTATCTAGGTTTGAGGGAAAATAGGAGGATATTCTAGGCTGTGTGTGTGTGTGTGTGTGTGTGTATTGGGGATGGGGGAAATAGGACACAATGATTGATGCCCTAGAACGCATAAAGACAGAGTTTGACCTTATTGTCTAGTGCTAGGTTAGACACTGTTGTGTTCAATTTGTCTGAAATGTCTCACTTCAGTCCTAAAGCCCATGTTTATGTGAAATTCTGAGTTCCCATAGCTTTTGGGAATTCACTGTAGGTAGGTGGTGGGAAACTGAGGAGAAATTTTAAATAGGAGGACAACCTGGTATGATTTACACATTAAATCAAGTTGAAAATGTGTAGTTTATATAAAGGAGACAAACCTAGAATCAATTGATATGACTAGGAAGCCGCTGAGAGAGTTCAGGGGAGGCACTCTTAGTAGAAATCATGAAGAATAGAGGATGGATTGGAGAACTAAAATCAATAGAATTTGTGAAGGAGTCGATGCAAAGGTGAGGGAAAGGAAAGAGAATTAAGTTCATGATCCCATCCTAATTTCATCTGTTGCTTCTTGCTGAGTTGAGGAACCCAGGAGGAGGAGCAGGTCTAGACTAAAGTTTAATCTGGGATCTGAGATGCCTTATGCTACCCTTACATTTTAACCAAGCTGGATTGGCTTCTCTTTCATTGTCTCAGCCTTACCTGCTTCATTTTAGTATAAGTGCACTAAGAACAAGGACCCAATCACCATCATCTCAACAAAAAATGCCTTTTGAAAAAGCATTTTTATGAAATTGTTGAAAGTGTCATTCTTATAAAAATAAGTGACCAGGTATCCAATGTTTATGTAGCTTATTAATTAAATGAACAAGTAGCATGGTTGAGCAGGTTTAAGAAGGATTTAAAGAATGGGTAAAGATCCGATAAAAATGAAAGCAATGTTAGAAACAATAGTGATTAATGTGTTTATAGAACAAAAACTCAAAATTTATTTGCTTGGGAATTTCCCCCTCTATCAAATTGAAAAAAATGCATCATATATTATTAATTTTTATAAGTTAATCTCTAACTTTATAGAGTTACATCTGAATTCTGAATTTGTTGCATTTCCCTTTCGACATTTTAGAAATCACTCTGAAGAGAAATTATACGGTCATCCTATTGCCTTATTTCTAGGTTTTGAATATTTTATTTTCTGAAGTACCTCTAAGACTATCTATTATGAATTTTTATATTGATTTTATATCCTGTAACTGTTCAGAAAGAGATTTGAGGTGTTATATATCAAAGGCATATCAACAAATTTAGGCAAAATAGTAAGATCCATTTAAAAAGTAAATAAAATGATGTTATGACTGATTTTTAGATTTGTTATGCATGTCTAAACAGGGCAAAATGAGAATATAGCAAATTATCTCGTTATAAGGAAAGAAAATAATTTCCAATAGACAGTCATAAGTCATTGTGAAATAATATGACTTGTGATGTCGTAGGGCTGGAGCTGTGGCTTATTCTGGTCTGTGTTTAGAATTTAGGGTGTTTCCTGGCACATAGGTGGTTCTCTGAATGAGTGAGACAGCATTGCAGTGAACTGATGAGTGACCCTAGTTTTTTCTAATACAGATAAAAGAGGGGCTGGGACAGTAGCTCAGTGGTAGAGTACTTGCCCAGCATGTGAAGGGCCTCAAGTCCAAGAACTGAAGAAGGAAGAGGAGGAGGAGCAGGAAGGATTACATTAAAAAAGAGAGAGAGAGAGAAATTTTAGTATGAATCTCTTTGAGTGCACCCTCAAGTATTAAATTTATGTTTAATAGTTCTTCATATTGGACCTGGAATGTCTCCCAAAGATCTGTGGGTTAAAGGCTTGGTGGCCTGCCCATGGCACTATTGGGAGATGGTGGAAACTTTAAAAGTGAGGCCTAAGGGGGAGGTTTTAGGTCTTTGGAGGTGGCACCCTGATGTCTTTCTTTCTTTTCACATCCTGATAATGAGGTGAATGAGCTTTTTGTTCTTCTATGTATTCCCCTCACCATAGGTTTGAAAGCCACAGGGCCACCTGACCATGGACTGAAAGCTCCAAAACGGAGGAAGCAACAACAACAACGACATTTTTTCCCCATACAAGTTGATTATCTCAGGTATTTGTTATGGTAATAGAAAACAGTAACACATGGATCTACAAAATTATTCTTCATACTTTGCATTATAGATTCTTTATTTGTTTCATTGCTGCAAGTTTTTTTGAGGTAAGTCCATACGTAAGAGGCCTTGGAAATGGAATGCTGTGTTAGCCAACTTTTTGTTGCTATGACCACAACATGTATGGTAAACAACTTAAAAGAGGAATAATTTATTGTGGGTCATGATTTCAGAGGTTTCAGTCTATGGTCAGCTGGCACCAAAGCAGAAATGTCATAGCAGAAAGGTGTGGCATAGCAACATTGCTTATCTCATGGCAGCTGGGAGAGAGGAAGAGGGAGAGGGACCTGGGAGGGAGAGGGGGGAGGGGAAAAGAGGGAGGGAGAGAGATAGGGGGAGAAAGGGAGAGAGGGAGAGAGGGAGATTCCCCCATTTTCTCTACCCTACTTACCCTGATTACTCTCACCTCCTATAGTTGCCGCCACCTCCCAACAAACCATTTAAATTGTTGATTCATCAAATAGGTTAATCTGCTGATGAGGTTAGCGATCCCATGATCCAATAATTTGCTAAAAGTCCACCTCTGAACATTGCTGTGAGGAACAAGCCTTTAACACGTGAGTCTTTGGGGAACAGTCCATACAAAACGTAACAGGTGTTACGTTTTTACATACAGTGTTACATACAGTGTACAAAACAGTTGTACAAAAACAGTTGTTACATACAGTGGTTCTACAAAGTTGAGAAAAAGTACATGGATAGATGAAGGGAAGTAATACCTAGAACAAGGATGGTAAACAGCCAGCATGTGTCTCTCAAACTACACTTGAAACAGGCACACTAATCTAATGATCATGGTTCTTTCCCTGTGTGTGTAAATCTACCTTGGCCTCCTATCACAGTGAGCTTGCAGGCACAATAAATTATTCAAAGTTTTGGAGGAGAGATAAGAAGAAATCTGTTTGCTATCTAGGATGTAGAGTGTATTTCCTGCCATTACACTAATGTTTCTGATTTGCCTCATCCTGTTTTCCCTTTTCTTTTAAAAATCTTTTATTAGAGTTACACGGTTATACATAGTATTTGGGCTCATCCCAACATGCTCATACATGTATAGAAATCTGATCCCCCATCTTCTCTACCCTTTTTCACTCCCATTCCCCACCGACCTTCTCCTTCTAGCCCAGTAAACTTTCTTTTGCTAATCTATTAATTGGTATTTGATTGGTTCTATATAAATGATGTTATCCTATCATTTCTTCTCCCTTTCCTTTATTTTACTTTAGCTTCTGCATATGAGAAAAAACATTCAACCTTTGAGTTTCTGAGTTTGGCTGATTTCACTTAGCATGATATTCTCTATTTCCATCCATTTATCAGCAAATGCCATAATTTCTTTCTTTTTCTTTTCTGTTTCTTTTTTTTTTGTGTGTGTGTGTATGTGTGTGTGTGTGTGGCTGATTAGAACTCCATTGTGTGTGTGTGTGTGTGTGTGTATCACAGTTTCTTAATCCATTCATCTATTGATGGGCATCTGGGTTGCTTTCATGATTTAGCTATTGTAAATTATGCTGCTATAAACATTGATGTGGCTAAATTGCTGTAGTATGCCAATTTTAGTTATTTTGGGAAAATATCTAGGAGTGGGATAGTTGGGTTATATGGTGGCTTGTCCCTAGTTTTTTGAGGAATCTCCAAATTGCTTTCCAGAGTGGTTGTACTAGTCTGCAGTTCCACCAACAATGTACAATGTTCCTTTCTCCCTACAACTTGGTGAGCGTCTACTGTTGTTTGTATTCTTGATTTATTGCCATTCTGATTGGAGTGAGATGAAATCTTTGTGTAGTTTTTCTTTTTTAAAATATATTTAGTTGTCTATGAACCTTTATTTAATTTATTTATTTATATGTGCTGCTGGGAATCCAACCCAGTGCCTCACACATGCCAGGCAAGCACTCCACCACTGAGCCACAACCCCAGCCCTTAGTGTAGTTTTGACTTGCATTTCGCTGATTGCTAGAGATGTTGAACATTTTTTCATGTATTTATTGGCCCTTTGTGTTCTTCTGCTTAGTTCTTTTGTTCATTTATTGATTGGGTTATTTTTTGTTGTTGTTGCAAAGTTTCATGAGTTATTTGTATTTTCAGGATATTGATCCGCTATCAGAGAAGTAGCTGGCCAAGATTTCCCCCCATTCTGTAAGCTCTCTTCACACCCTTCACCATTTCCTTAGTTGTACAGAAGCTTCTTTGTTTAATATCATCCCACTTATTATTGGTTTTATTTTTTGTCCTTTGGGGGTCTTAAGGAAGTCTGTACCAGCACTTACATTATGGAGAGTTGAGCCTATGTTTTCTTCTAGCATTTGTAGAGTTTCTGGTCTAATTGTGAAGTCTTTGATTCATTTCTGTTTGAGATTTGTGCAGGGTGAAAGATAAGGGTCTAATTTAATTTTTCTATAAATAGCTACTCAGTTTTCCCAGCACCATTTATTAGAAAGATTATCTTTTCTCCAAGATATATTTTTGGCATCCTTGTGAAATGTTAGGTTTTGCCCTGTGTCTTCTGTTCTATTCCATTGGTCTTCATGACTATTTTTCACCCGGTTTTTCCAAAATAGTGTTCATTAGGAAAAATTAAAACAAAAAAGTCACATCAACCACTTACAAACAATACAAGATCATGTTTTAAAAAAAATGCAGCTTGTTTTATTTTTATAGAAACTAAAACACCAGAGTTCATTGATTCCTATATTAAATACATAAATTATAAAATAACCAATTCATAAAACTTTACATACAATAAATTGTTTCCAATCTCTACGGTAATACATACAGTACATGTACATGTCCAGTGTACTTCACAGGACTGTTCTTGAGAAACTGAGGCAAATTATATCTTTCTTTCATTAATAAACAAGCACTGAAGCAGTATATGGAGTCGTGCTAATGAGATGGAAAGAACCCTAATTGATGCAACCGATTGCGGGGGAAGCTTTGGGAAATTGGCCCTCTGGCTACAGTAATACAATAGAAATCTGAGGAATTATGTCTTCAGATTAGCTCAATACTTGAGTCCCCAGAGAACTGAATATTAAAGATTAAATCATGCATAAACCCTGCTTGGAATGGGATTTTTAGTTGAGAAAGATATGGGACCTTTGGCTGATAGTAATACTGAATATTGTGCTGGGTGTTTTGTTGCTATTCCAAAAAAAAAAAAAAAAAGAAAAGAATTGCTGGTTTTGGGTCTGGATAATTGAAAATTCAGTGAATAGTCTCTGTTATAGTCAATAATAGGAAATAGTAGAAATGAACAGAAGATGGGGGAGCAGAAAGAAGAGGCAGGCAAGGATGGATGAACAGACAGTAGATGCTAAACAGACATGAATTGCCTCTTCCATCCTAGAACAAAAGCACACACCTGGTAAGTGCTCACTCCATCACACTATGTACAGAATATATATGTGCATATATGTACATCACATATTTATAAAATGCTTAGATTTTGATCTGCCTTGTGGGAAGGTGCTATGGTTAATTTGGGGAATAGGCACATTTTGTGAGATGTCTGTTAAAATAAGTGATTGCATTATTAATGGATACTTCAATTTGTTTTTTTTGTTGGGAAATCGCATCATTCACTCTTTAGCAAGTTTGTGGAGTCTTCATTATAGGCAAAATGGGACTCAAACTTGTCTGTCTATGATACTTCCGCCCTATAGAACTTTGCCTATAACAAAGCAGGAAAAATAAGCACGGGTGTGAAGACCTCAGTGCAAATAAGCAAGAACAGGAAACCTCACCAAATTGATTTAGGTTAAATATAGTAAATCATAATCCTATTTTTTGCCACATTTCCCCTTTAAGTCTATCTTCAGTAATTCTGATTAAGCATTGAACTTGGACTCTCAACAATACATTTAGAAGGAAAAACTGTCAAACTAAAGACAGCAAAGAATGTGAGCTTCCCAGTTCTGAAATGGAATCATAGAATTTGGCAGTTGAAGAGGCTTTATAAGGATCAACACCAACTTTCTGTTGGGCTGAATCCTCTTGCCAGTATGCCTGAAATTCAGTCTCAAGACAGAATATTATACAGAAAAAAAATGAGGCAGTTGGACATAAAGGAAGCTTCCTCTCTCAAGAATTGTGACCTAATGTTTTTACCTCCAGAATACAGAAGTCCACTTAAAGAGGGACTTGGGTCTGTCCTGGAAGCACTCATTCAAGACATAAACAGTCTAAAATTTGCTTTGATTACTGATCTTTCAAAAGTTGTATTGAGCTTTCTAAATATGGTAGATGAATTTAAATTATTAAAGTGACAAATTAAACTAATAAAAGCTATTATTAAACTACCAGAACTTTGTTATGAAATTTTCACAAAGGACAATAAGAAATGTAACCCCCAAACAACATAGCCATTTTTATTCTATTGTGTGTGTGTGTGTATATTTGTATATATTCTGCACCACTCTGACAGATCAAAAGGATGCAATTAAATATTTTAAAAATGAAATGTCTGCGCTGTCCATCTATCTTGATGTAAAATCACACAGATGGTCCAATAATTCAAAGATCAACATACAACCAATAACTATTCTTTTTACAGTTTCCATGAAAACCCACATAGGTTATATAGACATGCATCATTTAAAAATAATGAGTTTATGAATTACATTGAAGACAGGAACATACGAATTACATAATGGATTTACAGGAAAAGAAATAGGCAGAAAGGAACAAGTTTGCCAGAGGTTTATTTAAAACCAAAGGGAAAAAAAAAAGAAAAAAAATCAAATAGTTTGAAATAAAAGACTGTAACAAAAATTCCTTGGCAAACTTTATTTCTTCAATTACAAGTGGAGAACCAATCCTCCTTTTTCTACCCCAGTGGTGACCCTGCCCTCTCCATGTCTGTCCTTCTGAGTTTGGAAGACCCATACTACCTGTGTGAGCAGTTATTTAGAGACTGAAGAAAAATCAAAGTGAAATTAATTCTTCTGCCCCTAAAACCTAAAGTTTGGCAATAAAATTTGGCAATAATTTTATTTGCAAGACATAAGTTAAAATAAATATGATTTTCTCAGCTTATTCTATTGTCTCCTAACTTGAAAGTTGGGTAGTATTTAAAAATAAATGAAAAAAGAACAGTTTAGTGACATGTTTTCTAATGTGGCAGTCACCTAGAGTCTGCCTCTTCATCTCTTCCCTTTCATAGAAATTTTTCTGTCCTGAATAACAGTGCTAAATTGAGTCTTTAATTATCTCAAACTATTTTAAATACTTATGTTTTTTCCTGAGGGTGCAAATATTTGCTTAAGACAAAGTAAATAAATGAACCCTGATTGTTCAGATTCTTATTAACTCATTGGCCAGATATGTCAGGATAGTACAGATATAAAAATTAAATATCTGAATGGGAATTATCTTTTTTTTCTTTCCTAAAGAAATGGAACCATGGTAGACCTCTCTATTATTAACAAGGCATCCTGTTTACTATTGCTGAACTTCAAATGTAAAGAGGAACCATGCATTTAGATTTGGTTCATTTCTATGGATCCATGAATGACTGCAACATGAATATACAATTTTCCTGATGCTGTTATAATTGTGGAAATATATAACAGAGAAATGTATTAATAAAAATATTTAGACTTATCTGATAAGTTAATTTTGAAGATCATGAGCATGACTTAACAAAAATATCACCATTTATCTTACAATCTAGGGAAATTTGCTTGATGTTCTGGGTTTTAAAAAAAAAAAATCTCCTTTTGCGTCTGCCCTAAACCCATCTAAAGCTTCCCAGGTGATCATTGTTACTCTCATATAATTGGAAATACGATACAATCCAATTAATAGCAGACAAGCCGACAGGACATATGAGGAAGCCACACAAGTTTTGCAAACATTTCTAATCATTTAGAAAATAGTTATTGGATTTAAATTTCAACCCACAAGTTTCTTGGTGGGGAATGCCAAATAAAGAGAAGAAAGGTATGTTTGGTGGAGCAGATGGACTATGGATTTGTTCAGACAGGCTCTGGAGTGTAAGAGCAGAGCAATTGAAGAGAAAGGTTTGAGATACAGGATAGGCATTTGTCCTCTTCCATATTTTCTGAATGATGTTTGCTAAGGTTAGGTGATAGACATCACAGAAGTACCCTCTTTCACATTTACTGCATTGTGAACCCGCGGTTCACATTTAATTTAGAACCTCTCTAGTTGATCAAAGAATCCAGTAGGATGACCTGGACATGAAGCTCAGTTGGTAAAGCACTGGACTGGTATGCAGGAAGCCCTCGGATTCAATCCCCAGCACCACACACACACACACACACACAACACACACACACACACACACACACACACGGCAAGGAATCTAGTAGGATAGTTCTGCTTGCACATTCCCAGTTGGACATATCATCTGACCTTCCCCACAAATGAAAGTGATAATCAGGCTTATTGGATGATATTGTCAATTCTTTCCAAGCCTGCCTTTCATGATTGGATGTCATGTGAGCAAAGTGAAATTTTATTTGATGCAATCATGAGATCTGGGAGATGCTTATCATTGAAATGACACACTCTTCTGTCCTGTTCAATAGCATGAGATGACTCTTTGCTATAGGTGGCTAGAGATCCTGATTTGGGATCTCTCAATCTTTATTGCTAATAATGTCTCAGGTAGCTTGATGGCAATGCTTCAGTGCTGCAAAACTTAGATTTAACCAAACTGAAGCACTATTTTATTACACAGGGGAATCTTTGTCTCAACAACACAAGTCAAATACAGCAGTTATAATAATTACAAAGCACTTTGTGCTACTTTAAGCACCTCTTGTTCCAGAATTGCAAATAAAATATTCCATGAAAAAGCATTTCAACCCCATTTTGCAGATGAGGAAACTGAGGCACAGAGAGGTTAAGTGACTGGGTCAAAGACATCTGGGTCAGCAGTACGTACAAGGACAAAAAGTGGGTCCCCAGTGTTCTAGATTTTCTTGCAGATTCTTCAGTTATTGTTCTGGCTTTAAAAAGCTTAGCACTAAAACTGAAGGATAAAGATGCTGAACTCACATATGGAAAGATATGTGTAGCATTTTGTCAAAAGAGTTTCTGGCTCCCTACACACATTCTTTATGCGTGGGAATTCTAACCCCACAAATAAAACCTTGACATTTTGAAAAATTGAGGTTATCTTGTTATCTATAGTAAATGAGGTGTAAAATTAACTTTTCAGGAACATGTATTACTCAGTAATGCATAACTTAGGAAAAATACTGGTCTTCTAATTGTCTCTGGTATAAAATGGCCTTATCAGCAACATAATGTTATCTCTATATAGAAAAGTAGAGCCATCTTGTTGCTGCTAGCTGACCAGGAAGAAAAGTCATCACTCTAAATGACAAGAGGTCAAATTGCTCTAGGTATATCAGGAAATTTTAATATTCACATTTTGGTGGCAAACCCAACTGTTGGTAGAAGTTTACTTACCACCTCTATATGGTGTTTTAACCCAAATCATATAGCATATTCATTGCACGCAATTTTTAAACTGAAAACCAGCAATTATGGAAATAGAAGGATTCAGAGGTGCTCTCTGGCCCATGTTCCCTATGGATGTTGGTGTTCTAAACAGAACTAAGTCAGGGAGCTTGCAATTTAGAGTATCATCTTCATAATATGAATGAGATCAGTCTGTTGTTGGTGAAGGAGTGCAGATGTGAGAGAAGAATAAAGAAGCATCAAATCCACATTTACATCTCATGTTACATTCACCGGAGTCCTTTGACTTGGTTGCCAGTTTAGGTAGGGTCACTGTGATCCACTTCTCATCTGTCATCTGTCAATGCATTCCACCAGCTTCACCTTTTGCAGAAAATCAAAATGGAGAGTGCTTTTCTTCCCTTCACACTGCAGATGTCTCTGTTCCTGAGTTTAAAACAATCATAAAGACAGAAAAGCAAATCCCTGTAGTAAGAAACCAGACTTTTCAAATGAAACATTTTATTGTAAATAGCTCCTCATAGGTATTCCTCGTGCTTCATTCCCCACCCACCCTTATTTTTTTGTTGTTGTTGGTTTTGTTTTGATTTTTTAAAATTGTGTTTATTTTGAGGACTGGTATTTCCATGGGGTGTGGTGTTACATTAAAATGACCCCCCCTGCACAGCAGGGGTTGAATGTTTCATTGTAACTTTGGTTCCATGCCCAAGACACATCTTTGCTTGATCTGCTGAAACTGGTTTCACTGCTGATTTTTTTCTTTACACAATATATGTTTATAGTTCTTTTCTTCTGGTTTGACATATACATGTTTCATTAAATGCAGCATATATTGTAGATTTTCAACAGGGTCATGTAGGAACTGTCAAGTAAGAAACCTTGAATAATGGCTTTAAAGTACAAGTTGCAGTCTTGGCTACAGGGTACTTCTTAGCTTTTGATCTCCTTCGCACTGGTGTAAACAATTTTGCCATCTTTGAAGGTTTAGAAGCATTTGTCTTTCTGGGGTCTGTTCCTTGTTTTCGGTTATTCTGTAAAACAAAGGAAAAATTCTTTAATCATCGTTTTTGTTAATGGCTGAATAAGAAAGAAAAAAAAAACCCAAAGTCTAGCACAAGTCAAGTTTGTTTTAATTCCCAGCATCCCCACCCATCCCACCAAAAAAAAAGTAAATGTGTAAATGTGTTTTTATAAAGATAAAAATATTTTCTTTACTATCTCTTTGGGCTAAATGCCTTTGTGCAAGTTAGATGACATCTCTAAGCTTAGTTACTTTAATTTTAAATGAGAAAATAAAAGTCTTTATTTCAAAGTTTGTTGCAAAATAATGTATGTAATTAATGGTTCTTGTCTCATAGTAAGTGGCCTGAAATACTAGCTATTATCTTTATTGCCTTGTCCTCTGGAGTCTTCCAGGGCGGTATCTTAAAACTCAATTGTATCATCATGGCCCTGACATTAATTTAAGGTTATTTTAGAAGCAGTTCTCTATATGCCCTTCAGCCACTAGCTTTTATGTCATGCTTTCTCCCAATAATTATAGCCATTGACAGGTAGTCTCCACCCTAAGGACTATTTGGAAGACTACCTTGGAATTCTGCCACAGGGTTTTCCCGGGTGGCCCCCAGATGTCTCTGAAAAGGTGTTTTTCTGGAGCTACACCAATCAAGACTTTTACCCTGTTCCTCCTTAGGTCCATGCGTCTGGGTTTTCCCTTGGATAGAATATCACCTAATGCTTCTCCTCCAATAAAAGCAGGAAATGGCAGAGGATGTGCGATCATGTGCTTGACCAAGGTCAAGTTATATAAGCCTGCTAGACCTCAATTTCTTCATCTATAAAATGAAGATACTAATCAGTAGAAAGATTTTATTATTGTCCCTGAAATGTTGATCAAGATCCTAAGTGGGGGAAAAGAAGGCACTTAGTACCCAAAGGACACTTTCAGGATACCATATATTAGCAAATTTAAGATTCAGAGAAATTCCTGCTGGGAGGACAAGTCAGAAATATTTGGGATTTTTATTTGTAGAGCCACTCTGCTCCCAAGACTGGGTTAGATTGGGATAAAAGAGTTGAAGTTACAGAGAAGGAATCCTGGAAAGAAGGGCAGTGGCTGGGGACAGCCACCCTGAGGGAGGGGGCATAAGGTGTTAAAAGGCATGATGAGACTTGGGCTGGGTGCAAGAAGAGACTTGCTTTCTTTGGCTCAAACACAGAATTGTTTCTCTTGAGCGAAGACCTGGAGAGAGACGACAGGGCAAAGATGGAGGAAATAGTGTAGTTATCTTCTAGTCCATTCTTCAACTAAAGACTGCCTCCCCAGCTGGGAGCTGTGGGATATACCAAAAATAATATGGGAGCCAAATGGCAGTGGAAGACGTTGGGCGGAATAGTGGGTCTACTGCAGGGGCATGCCTCCTTCTGAAGAACTCACACGTCTTCCAGGATGACCAGTCTTTCTTGCCTCTCAGAGGAAAGACATCAAGACCTGGTTAACATGGTCAGTGAATTGGTCCAGGGGCAGGATGCCTTTCCCTTTCCTTCCCTGGAAAAGGGTAGAACTTTGAAGGTGGGGCCATGCCTCTTAGAGCAAACCAGGAACCTACTCTCCACAGGGCACCCAATTCATAACTTAGGTAGGATAAGGGAGAAAATGAGGCCAAACAAAGGCTGAGACTGAATTTTTAAACTGGGAAAGACTTTTGACTGAAAGGGTAGGGAACCACTTTGGAATTTAATTAAAGAAAGAGAGAGGGAAATAGGAAAGAACCTAAGAAAACAGACTGAGTTCATATTTGCACACTACTGTAATGACAGCCTTAAACAACTAATTGCAAATATAATAATCTCTTATTCCCTGGTTAAAAAAAAAGAGAACTGATCTAAACATTCATATAAAAGACCTTTAAGGGATATATGTTTGTTTGTGTATCTGTATACATAAAAACTATACAACACAAAAGGCTTTTACTTGCAAATTTTCAATTTATATTTCAATAGAGATTATACCCTATTTTGTGTCAAAGCTTGTGAAGGTAATTTCTGCTTTTTACAATTGAGGTAAATAAAACCTATCATTTGAGCAAACACATATTGTTTTTAAAAACCAATGAACATATAAGAATTCTCCCATAATGTTACATTTCTGTAAATTGACATTGACAGGTAGTCTCCATCCTAAGGACTATTTGGAAGACTGTGAAAGGAACTATTAAATTTATAGTAAAGTCAGATTTGAATAAATCTGAACTTCTGAATAGCTGCAGTTATCCAGTTCACAATAGGGGTCATAGGGATTCTTTCACCCAGGTTGCTTAATTATGCTGAGCTGTACTTTCCTTCTCTGTGAAACAGCAATTGCAGCTATGATTTCTGAAACTTTACAACAGGACACCAGACTCTAAGTCAATGACTACTGCATGTCACTCTGATTTGGGACTCTAGTATGTGTAAAGGCTCTATCGTCAAATTAGCTACACATTGCAAAACCTAAGAGCCATCGTCACATTTTCCACTCCTTCAACACTCATATCCAATTTATCATATTGTACAGTGTTTTCAGTAAATGGAAACTGCTTTCACTATCTACATTTAAAGATGAGGAAATTGACACTAAGGATTGTTAAGTAATTGGCCAGTGAGAATCTTGTTGGGAAAAGCAAATAATAATGTTGAATGGAGCCTAATTGAAGCCAGGGGATGGAGGCAACCCTGATTGTCCATCGAGATGGGAAGGACAAATGGATGGTGGTTGATGTTGGTGTGGGAAATGTGGTCTAGGTAGATGGATCACACATTTTAAAAGGCATGAGATAAAGCAGCGTGGTGGCACATGCCTAAAATCCCAGTGGCTTGGGAGGCTGAGGCAGGAGGATGGCTAGTTCAAAGTCAGCCTCAGCAATTTAGTGAGGCCCTAAGCAACTCAAGATCCTGCCTGTAAATAAAATATAAAAATGAACTGGAATGTGGCTCAGTGGTTAAGCTACCCTGGGTTCAATTCCCAGTGCCCCCCTGCAAAAAAAAAGGCATTAAAATTGTAAAATTTTACATTGTAAAATGTAAAATTAGATTTGGGTTTGAAAACCTCACCCTCACTGCTGTGTGGGGAGTATCAATAGAGAAGCAGTGAGGGGCTGGGGATGCGGCTCAAGCAGTAGCGCGCTCGCCTGGCATGCGTGCGGCCCGGGTTCGATCCTCAGCACCACATACAAACAAAGATGTTGTGCCCGCCGAAAACTAAAAAAAAATAAATATTAAAATTCTCTCTCTCTCTCTCTCTCTCTCTCTCTCTCTCTCTCTCTCTTTCTTAAAAAAAAAAAAAAATAGAGAGAAGCAGTGAGCCCAGTTAGGCTATTCCAGCTGTGGCAGAGGGGGAGAATGCATCTAGTTGTGAATTCTTTGCTTTGTCAAGATAGAGTGTTTGGTATGTCTTAAAAACTTGGCCATTATATAGAAAAATAGTGATGCTATTACTTGCTAAATCTGGCAGGGTGTGTGTGTGTGTGTGTGTGCTAGGTTTTGAGCCCAGGCCCTTGCGCATGCTAATAACTTGCTGCATCACTGAACTATATACCCCACAGCTGCTAATTTTTTTTTTTATATATCAGGAAATTAATGTTGGGAAGAACTATGGTTTGAATGTTCATGCTCTCTCCAAATCCATGTTGAAACTTAATCCCTAAGCAACAGGGCCTTTAGGAGATGGATGCTCTCATGGATAGTAGTAGTGCCTTGTGAACAGGCTGGAGGAAGCTAGCCAGGCACCTTTGGTCCTCCTGTCCCCTCCACCATGTGAACACTGCCACAGGGTGCCACTCTGGAAGCTCGGAGTGGGCCCTCAGCAGACCTTGAACTTACCAATGCTTCCATCTTGGACTGCCCAGCTTCCAGAACTGGGAGAAACAAATTTGTATTATTTATTAATTTCCTAAACTCAGGATTTTGTTATTGTGGCACAAACAGAGCAAGACAGTAAAGTATAATCTATTTTGCAGGGTTGTTATGAATATTAAATAAAGTAGTGGATATTAAATTAATTTAAAACTATAAACCAAGATATCTTCTTCTTTTTCATAATATCATTACTACTATTTTTAAAAGCATTTAGTGATTATTGACTATGTGCTAGGCACTGTCAAAGTGTTTGTGATACAAGGGTAAAAAACATTTATATACAATGAGGGAGAGAGACATTAAAAATTATATATCCATATTTTCAAATTTATATATGTACATACATACATACATATATGTACACATACATATGTGTATATGTGAATCCATCCAAATTGTATGTAAAACTTGGCCAGAACAGCCATCGAGAGTGACATCTCTGAGCTGAGATCAGCAGAATGAGTGAGCAAGGTTTACTGGGTGAAGTAGGGGAAAGTATTTGTGCACTAGACAGTTTGAGCAACTTCTGCTGGAGGCAGGAGGGAGTGTAGCTCATCAAGGAAAAACAGAGCAACAGGAAGCCTGAGAAACTGTCTGTAGTAAGACCACTGCTGCACATATTAAGGAACCAGCATTTGATTCTAACACTGGGGCTTTCCCCAGATGAGTGTAAAATTAGATTTGGGTTTGAAAACCTCACTCTCACTGCTGTGTGAGGAGTATCAATAGAGAAGCAGTGAGCCCAGTTAGGCTATATTCCAGCTATGGCAGAGGGGGAGAATGCATCTAGTTGTATATTCTTTGTTTATGAATTCTTTAAGTCAGTCTCCCAATGATATATAAAGAACAAGTTCATGATGCTATTTTGTTATTACAGTACTACACTACTGATGGCTCTGTTCTCACACGTCACAAATCTGCTTTCAAATTCATTTACCCAGGTATTTACTCAATCATCCATCTTCTATTCTGTCAACTTCAATTTTATGCACCACCTAGTATATATCAGGCATGTTGTAGCTAATGAAATTACAAAAGCAAATATAGCATAAGTCCTTCTCTATGTCTATTGAGTCCAATTTCTGAGACAGACGTGGAAATAATTTTAGTATGGCCAGATGAAAGCCAATGGATA